TATATATTCGTAAGGAAGACACTGCGGCCTGCATACATATTAGAAATATTGAATGCTTAAACAAGCTGTCATAATATCACAATTTTTTTTCTGTTGCTATATTTGGTTTATGTATTTGGGAATTTTAATCTTGTATAATGTTAATTTATTATCAAAATGTTAATCGCTTAAGATCAAAAACAAAAGAGTTCTATCTTAATGTACTTAATAATGATTATGACATTATCTGTATAACTGAAACAAACTTAAATAGCACTATTTTTGACGGTGAATTCATTGACACTCGCTATAATGTTGTAAGGCGCGACAGACATCAATCAAATGCACGTAAATCTGAGGGCGGGGGGAATTCTAATTGCCGTTAAAAAAGAAATAAATTTTATTTATCAAGTTTCCTGGAATAGTGAGCTAGAAGACTTGTAGATCAGTATATTGCCAAAAGCCACTAATGTTAAAATTATTAATATTTGTCTCTGTTATCTTCCGCCAGATCTGCCTTTAGACTGTATCGATAAATTTTTTACAAACTGTCAAAACGTAATTATGCGATATCGCAACACAGAAGAATTTCTTTGTATAGGGGATTTTAATATACCCGACGTTGACTGGTCTAAATCATCACAATATAATTATATGATTCCTCTTCACCCGCGAGGTCAAAAAGCTAATCTGCTTTGTGATACCCTTAGAATATGTAACCTTGATAATTATAACAGTATATCAAATAACAACGGACGATTTTTAGACGTAATTCTTTTCAGTTCGAACAGCATTCAGGTTTATGAAGTGGAGCCATTGAGTCACTTAGATAACCACCACCCCTCATTAGTTGCAGATATTAATCTTGTTGAAATAAACTCAAATAATTTTAAAAACAAAAAACAAAAACGAAAAAATTTTTTCAAAAGCAATTATTCAAAAATAAATCATGAATTAAAATCACTTAAATGGCATAATATCTTGTCAATTCATAAAGATATTGCTTGCATGACTAACGCATTTTACCCAGAGCTTAGGAAAATTATTGCAAAACATACACCTATGACCAAAATTGACACAAACAACTATCCAGTATGGTTCACACCTGCTTTAAGGCAAAGCTTAGAAGAAAAACTAAAATATCATCGCCGTTTCAAAAAATATAAGAATCCTCGGGATTATGATACATTTTCCATGTTACGCAACAGATGTAAAAAACTTATTAAAAATGACTATAAAAATTTTGTATCGTCCGTCGAATCTTCTTTAGATGACGACATAAAATTCTTTTGGCGTTTTATCAATGACAAGAAAAATAATGCTAATAGCATTCCCGAAACGATGAAATATGGTAATCATACCTCCTCCGATGAAAAAGAAATATGTGACCTTTTCTCTAATTATTTCAGTTCTGTCTTTGCAAACCCAGAGGAGACTATCTTATATTCTCACAATGAATTATCCAATCGTAGTAATTGTACCCTAAGTGATATCACAATCACACCAGATCACATACAGCAAAAGATCGCGAAATTAGACCAAAGAAAAGGCTCTGGACCAGATGGTATTCCTCCTTTATTCATTAAGAAATGCGGGAAGGAATTAAGTAATCCCTTGTGTATTATATTTAATGCATCCATTAAGGCAGGTATTTTTCCATCAGTATGGAAAATAGCTCATATTGTTCCGATTTATAAATCTGGCGACAGATCAAATTGCGAAAATTATCGACCCGTAAGCATCTTGTCTTGCCTTGGTAAATTGTTTGAATCATTGGTGTATGATTCTCTTTATCATCATATTCAACTTTTTCTATCGCTTCGACAACATGGCTTCATTAAGAACAGATCGACGACTTCTAATTTACTTGAATACAAACACTATCTTTGCAGTGCTTTCGCCAAGAGAAAACAGGTTGATAGCATATATACCGATTTCTCAAAAGCATTCGATAGAGTAAATCATAATATCTTATGTATTAAATTAGCATGTTACGGAATACATGGGAGTCTGTTGAGATGGACTGAATCATACCTCAACAGGAGAAGTCAGTTAGTTACTATAAAAGGTTTCAAATCCTCACCCGTTTCTGTGACATCGGGTGTGCCACAAGGGTCCCGTTTAGGTCCTTTATTTTTTATTATGTTTATTAACGATCTCATTGATAAATTGACATGTCCATGCCTGTTGTATGCAGATGATTTGAAGATATTTTCCGTTATTGATACACTCAGCGATTCGTTCAATCTTCAGTCGAATTTAGACTCCATTCATAATTGGTGTAAGGAAAATCTAATGCATCTGAATACGAGTAAATGTTTTGTGTTATCATTTAGTAACAAGAAGCACAGACTTACATTTGAGTATAAAATAAATGGACAGGTACTTGATAGAAAATCCGTAGTTAAGGATCTTGGAATACTGTTTGATGAAAAGCTTACGTTTCGCGATCATTACGATCATGTAATATCTAAAAGCACAAAACTTCTTGGCTTTATATTTAGAACTGCAAAGACTTCTCCACCAAGCCATGAAGCTTTCTTATTTTGTACTGTTCCCTAGTACGCAGTATTTTAGAGTACAACATAATTATTTGGTTTCCATACTACGCTGTCCACGTAGATCGTATTGAACGTGTTCAAAAGAAATTTCTATCAATACTCTGCTATAGGTACGGTTTAAATAGGAGTCTGCCCTCCTATGAAGAGAAACTAAAAAAAGTTTAACATTATGTCACTACAAACTCGGTGTAAATATCAGGATATGACTTGCCTTTTCAAAATTATTCATTCTTTTATAGATTCCCCCACCCTCCTTTCATTTGTCAAGATTAATACTAAGCCCCATCGTCGGTATACTTTCCTAAATACTTTTGCTTTGCAAGTTTATAGAAATAATACGTCCTATTACAATCCTCTTGTAAGAATGTGTCGCATATATAATGACTTATTGATTAATAATAGTAAAAATATAGATATTTTTAATAACAAATTAAACAATTTCAAAAAATCTGTATTAGATATATTTTGTAAATAAGGCATTCAAGGCTTAAAATTTAAATTTAAATATGTAGGTTAATGAACATTATTTTAATAAAGATTTAATTTTTCAAAATTTTCCACAACATAAGTTCATAAATATAGTATGTTTATAAGTAAGGTTTTAATTATTTGTGCTGTATAATCGTTACCGTTACTTAATATCATGTTGTGTTGTAACTTTGTATTTATTATTTTCAATTGTTCATGTTTTGGTGTTATTCTGTTTTGTGTACCTAAATAAATAAATAAAAAATAAAAAAATATTTTTGATGCCCCTTTATATTGAATTTAATTATTAATAATAATATTGGGCCGTCACACAATGATCACAAGGTCATCAGCATAACCCAATGTGTCAATGCGTAGGTCTGCCATTTTGTACAATAGTTGGTCAACTGCAAGAGTCCAAAGAAGGGGTGACAAAACACCTCCTTGTGGGCAGCCTCTTGTGGTTGCAACCTCAATCGAGGTTTGAAACAGCGCTATTTTTGCCTTTCTGTTTGAGAGCATCGACTTCACCCATCTGATGGTTGTGGGGTCAACATTTTTAGATGTTAGGCCCCCAATCAGTAGTGATGTGGGGCTACTATCGAAGGCGCCCTCAATATCTAGAAAGGCACAAAGAGCTATTGCTTTATCCTCCAGTGCTTTTTCGACCCTGTCAATGACACTGATCAGGGCTGTTTCCGTAGATTTGCCTCTGCGGTAAGCGTGCTGGGTGTAATGTATGGGCCTCGTAGCTAGAGCTACATCTCTATCTATAACCTTTTCCAATGTCTTAAGAAGAAAGGAAGATAGGCTTATAGGTCTAAAGGACTTTGGTAAAGCGTAGTCCTTTCTACCAGCCTTAGGTATAAATAGAACCTTGACATTTGTCCGTTGTCCGTGTCGTTCTGGAATATATCCCCATGCAAAACTTGCTCTGAAGATTTTCACCAGATAAGGAAGGAGGATGTCGATACCTCTCTGTAGTTGGATGGGAATTATTCCATCCTCCCCGCTTGATTTAAATGGTTCAAAGGAGTAAACAGCCCACTGCACCAGGTTTGGCCTTATTATCTTTGCAGCCCTACGCCAGTCCTCATTGCAAGGCCTTTGTAGGGCTCTGAAAGAGTTCAAGGCTGAAGTTTTGTATGACCCTGGGAAATGGGTTGACGCTAGTAACTCCAATGTTTCTGTTTCACTATTAGTGAAGTTACCATCCGGCTTTTTAAGAAGCCCGATCTGATTATGTTTAGCTTTCGATAGCATCTTGTGTAGTCTTGCACTGCGAGGCAAAGACTCAACTTCCTCGCATAGCTTCCTCCACGATGCTCTCTTGGCTTTCCTAATTTCTTTATTATATTCAGTTAGGGCTGCACTATAAATGTCCCACTCTTTGGTTTTCTTAGCCCTATTAAATAGTTTCCTGGTCTTTTCACTAAGGTCTTTCAGCTTAGAATTCCACCAAGAAACTTTTCGTGTAGATGTCTTGGTTTTGACGGGACAACTGTCCTCGAAGGCTTCACGGATACCTACGGTTACTGTCTCCGTCGCTAACTCCAGACCTTCAATTGTTTTGATGTTTTTAGGAAACGTTTCCAAATTCCTCCTTAGGCTATCTCTATAGATATCCCAGGAGGTCGCTTTCGGATCCCTAAAAATAACGGTTTCAAAGGATGGTGATGCTCCAATCACAAACTTAATGTGCTTGTGATCAGACATCGAGTTTTCGCTACTAACATGCCAGTCATTTATCCGCCTGGACATGTTATTGGTAGCAAAGGTTATGTCTAACACTTCTTGCCTAGCATGCGTTACAAAGGTTGGTGTACAACCTAAGTTTAGGCTTACCAGGCGGTTGGAGATGAGAAAATCATAAAGTAACTCACCTCTTTCGTTGATGTTGGTGCTTCCCCAGGCTGTGTGGTGAGCATTAGCATCACAACCCACCACAAGTTCGGCGTTGTGTTTTCGGGCGAACTCCGCCACTCGCCAGGGATGCAGAATCTATCGATATCATGCGCGCTGGTATGCCTGATAGTGCTCGGCAGCGCAGCACTGGTGGGCGCATTCGGTGTCTGTAAGCACCAGATCAGCGCTGTGCTCGTAACCGGGGTCATGTACTTATTAGCTGGTAGGTACATAATTGTAGATCTTTCTAGATACTAAGAATATATTTAAATGCGTCATTTTACATTTGCTCTCCACTTCCAGGTCTATTCGCTATGTTCACGCTTATGATAATCCACTTTAAGCGGATGCAGCGCGTCTCCACTCGCAGTAGTCCACACGGGGACGATACAGCTGACGGCGTAGTCGGTCCTCGTGCACCAGCATTACCACTCCTTTCAGCTAGAGAGTTTACCACATCGTGGTCGCTTGAACTGGGTTGGGGGGGCGTAGCGTTAGCTACCACAACATCACTTCTTTGGATACTGTTATCCAAAATAATGAGATACAACCCTATATCTGCTATGCTGTTATAGATTAGATCTTGTTTACTTTATAATGTTGCAGTCAATTATCTTATAAATTTGATGTTACTGTCTCTGTTTAATCTCATCGCTTTCTGCAGTCTAGACCTGTTACAATTCAATAATTAGGCAGCGCACGTGGGATCTGCGTTCTCGCCGGGAAGATAGGCTGAGCAAATGATTACTCTGGCCCCTGTGCATCCCTTGAGATTTATGAAGGCTGTAACCAGGTCATCATTGCAGTGCTCTGGAACAGCTAAAAGTTCAATATTTTTATTATAAATTATACAAGCTCTGGGTCTACTGCCTTTGGTATTGACAAGAATCTTACCGGCAGCCGTCAATCCCAGAACTTGACCGTTGGCCACCCAAGGCTCTTGTATAAGAGCGAAGTCAATGTTGTCCCCTGCAAAGGAAACCTCCACCATGGCAGAAGCAGCTGCTGCATGGTGAAGATTTCCTTGGAGAACCCTCGTCTTACCCTTGGGTTTTGCCATTTATGGGCGTGGAGGGGCAGGAGTCTTTTTCGCCTGTTGAGGACGAGGACGTCCTTTTCCTGCGAACTTGACTCCCGCCTTTCCTTTATTCGAACCGCTCCCACCTCCCCTCCCCCGGCCTGGACGACACCAGCGGAGGCCGTCGGACCGAGGCGAAATCTGCGCCTTGGGTCTTCGTCACTCTCACCGGTGGCGTTCCAGCCTCACCCCGAGAGGTGGAGGGCTGGGGGGATTGGGGTTGGTTCCCAACACAACTCCCCCAGAGCCATACGCCAAACTGCTCGCCGGACAGGAGAGCAGAATAGGTGTTAATCTAGTCCTATTTATAAAATCAAAAAGTTAGGAGTAGACTAACCCCCGCCCACAATTAATACTAACTATACACAATATAAAAAAGAAACTATAATATAGAAAAACTAACACTAAAAATTTAAAAATTGTCAAGTCCTGCTCCCCGTGGTATAGTGCCAAGAACGCTGGCTGCGTTTCCTCGCTGAATAGCTATACTTAGCCTTTGAGCGAGGAAAGAACCAGCCCTCTTATCACCAGCAGCAACGACCGTGGATACAGTTCCTTTAGGAACTTCACTGCACGTGGACCCCACGGACCGATAGTCTCTATAGCAAATGGCACAAATATGTAGTCATTTCTCAAAGACTGATATTTGCGCCATTCTAAATTCGGTTGCCTCTGATGCCGCACTGGCTCTGAAAGAGGTACACGTTAGGGCCAGAGTGTCAACGCAAGTAGCATCCCACACTAGGGCTTTACCTCTCTCCCAAGGGACCAAAGTCATACCGTCGGGTCTCTTGCCATCGTCTCTAAATATCCCGCAAGGGTCTAAAACCGAGGGATATTTATGGATACAAGAGCCCTTCGGATGACTTCGTTCAAATAACCGTGTCGGGAAAACCTACCTACACTTTTTTTGCATGAAAGTCCGTGGAGGTCAAACTCATCGGCGCTGCTACCACAGGGGCACTGGTGAGGTTGACAAATTGCCGCTCCAAGCCGGATTGCTACGGCGATGCGCAAGCTCTCCGCATCAACCAATGTGCCGAGATTACTTGATGGTAGAGCGTGTAACCAGTGAATTTAGATGACAGTGATACTGTAGCCGAACTCACAGTATTGAAGAAAGACATAGATGAGAAAATTAAATCATTAAAAAAAACAATGTGAATGATGGACAAGGTGTATCATTTCATGATATGCACTACCATTTAATTTACTCCATCGTCGATGTTATACTTCTAGTGGGAGTGGTAGCAGCATGGCGTAAGGTGCAACGGAATTGGGTACAACCCTAATGTAGACACGACAATGGAAGAGCAGCGCGGCTCTCGCCCTCATCCTGCGCCCTATCCGCGAACCAGCAACTCCACATCACAACAGGATATTCAAATGGTGGACAAGGACATTTCAGGAAAACGAGATGTGAAATCACACGTTGCGTTCCTAAAATTAGTGTTCAGTTCATCACTGAACACCAATTTTCTTTTTATTTATATAAAGCTTTATAATATGTATTTTCTTATTTTTTAATTTTATTGTTTTATGTTATCTTATCTCCCGTGAATATTTCCGGTGAAACCGAAAACGTCTTTTTGTTTAGTGCATTTTCGTTATGCGAAAGTGTCGGGTGCATTCATAACAATTCATTAACATTTTTGTAACTGTTTTAAGTAAAGTGATTTTTACTATTTCGGATGTTATTAATTCAACATACATAAGAAACAACCGGACACAACCCGACAATATGCTTAATGTATTTGTTTATATTTTTGTTTTTAGTTTCACATAATACCGATCACTTACATATTATGAATAAATGATAAAATTTACTAGTATAGGGCATATTATTTTACACAGCTTTAAGAAAACTTTTGCGACAACGCTTGTTTGACATCATCAAGCATTAGTGCAAAATTGTTGGCAAATACACATCAACATAATCTCTCGTGTGTTTTAGCGGCATCAAGTTTTGTATTTAGCTGTGGCGTACATATAATTTACAAGTTAATAAATACGTGGATCTACTGCTTAAGACTTTTTGTAAATTTTCCTCATCCATCGTTCATCAACAGCAGGCTAGAATGACATATGCACATAATATGTTAAAGGTTTTGTTCACATAATCGTAGCTTTGCAAATATGAAATATACTGGGAAATGTACTGATGTTCGAAAATCTTGATGTATGTGTTGATAACCAGCATCAGACTAAGACCTAACTTATTGAGGAAACCTTTTAAAAAACACTAAATCATTTAATTTTAATTAGTTGTACCTTAAACCGTTGTCGGCTCTCTATTTAAAGTCGATTAATAATTTAATACAAGTAAAATATGTATATTAACAGTGACGTTTTACTGTAAATAAAAATGAAAATTTGCAGCACTCAAAAAGTCGTCGATGCTACGAACTAATGGGCAAAATACACGCAAAAGAATATCGTATTATGGAAAATGATTTCTTATATTTACGCGAATAATATACATCGAATAAAACTATTTTTACGGATTTTATCGTGCATATTTTTTTACTTATTTTTAATTCCCGACATTTCGCGTGCTTTGCAGCACTCATGGCAACAGGGAGCTTGTTTAATAGATGTCATAAAAATGACTAAAGACCAGTATATAACCAGTCAGCCAGTGTTAGACCACTGCCCTGCTGTAATACTTAACAAAAGCCTTTTCACTCTTAATTTGAAGATACCCAGGTGGTAATGGGATAGAAAGGCAGATTTAGAGTGAAAAAATTCAATATTTTACTGTCACCATAATCATCAACCTCTTAAAGTCCTCAAAACTGCTCGACATGAGCCTTTTTTGTTGTAGAGAGGATTATTAATAATAATAATAATAATAATCTTTATTTCGGACCAAAATTAATCCATAGTAGTGTTAGTAACAAATGACTTATAAACTAGTGTTAGTAAACATTAAAGTGTGGACAAACTTTTTCAAAATCGGAGAATTATAGTTCTCCGCTACTGTTTTTAAAATGCTGTCGTGACTATCTCTCACCCTTCTTAGCAGCGAAGCTGTTTTCTTACGTAGTATCACATGAAAGCCATCCGTGCGAGCTTGCGCAAACATCACCGACGCACTACAGTAGCGAGGTAGTCGCAACAACATTCTGAAAGCTGTATTATATTGAACACGCAGAACATCCAGCGACCTTTTAGCGTAATTGATCCATAGATTGCTCGTATACAGACTCTGGCAGTATGCCTTAAAAATTTTAACTAGGTCTTCATCGAGCAAATCTACGGGCCTTTACCCAAACCCTGCGTTCCCTCTCAATATCTACATTGTCTTTCAGGTCATTGGCAAGAAAATGACCTAGATATCTTTTTTTAATTTTTAACCCATTCAAGAACAGGTCCGATTCATCAGTCCTAGGCTTGCCCCTGAACATAAAGACAATGTACTCACATTTTTTGACATCATATGCCAAACCATGCGACTCAGCATAGGCTTCACACACCTTCACTAACTCTCTTACTGCCCTCACCGACGGTCCCAGCAGTACCATGTCATCTGCATAGCTGATGTTGTTAATACTAACCCCACCAACACTGCATCCGACGCGCATGCTGCTGAGCTCGCCTGTGAGAGCATCTATATATAGGTTGAATAATCTGGGAGACGTTAGATCCCCCTTCTTTACCCCGCATTCCAACCTATACGGTTCACTAAGAGTATCGTCCCGTTTCGCATGATTTATTTGTTTACTGTACCAATATTTGAGCAGACCACATATCTCTGACGGTACACCCCTGTCCTCTACCTTCCTCCAGAGCACGTCATATGAGACGAGATCAAATGTCCTGGAAAGATCAAGGAAACAGACATATACCGGGGTACCACGACCTACGTAATATCGAACGGTGTGCTGGAGACTTAAATTAGCACTTTCGGTTGATAGTCCTGGTCTAAACCCGAACTGTGTGTCATGCAGTTGAATGTGGTCACTTAAGATGGTATCAAGCACACCGTCCAACACCTTTGCTATGATAGTCGCTAAGGAAATAGGACGATAGTTACCCTTGTCAGAGATGTCTCCCGTCTTGTTCTTCACAATGGGAACTACTATTGTCTTCATCAGATTTGTAGGTAAGTAAGAGTGACTAATACACATTGTGTAGAACATGGACAGGACTCGCGGTAGGTGAAATCCAGCATGCTTCAAGTGCTCAATGCTGAGCCCGTCGTTTCCTGGAGACTTACCTCGGCTCATACCTTTTATGATACTGCGTATCTGTTTAGCAGAAATATGCACAAGGTGTTCCTCTCCTCCACAAGCGGTCTCAGCATTACCCACTTGTGTTGAGGGCCCAAATGGAGATTGTACTTTAAAATGTTCCATGAACATATTAGCGATGTCACTGGGTTCACTAATTCCTTCCACGCTCGTAGCAAGACTAGGCTTAGTGTCCAACTTACTGGTCGACTTCCAGAAATTTTTAAAATTCCTAGTTGCTCTTTGTTGAGCTAATCTATCCATT